CCCGGCTGTTACCTGGAGTAGCAGGACATGCTGGTGCAGAAAAGCGTGTTTCCCACGGCGATGGGAACAAAGTTCTGATGCAGCCAGCTGTTCACCCACACATCTGGCATGACGTAGTAGCCGTAGCTCACCGCGCTGCCTGGAGACAAAGAGACGGTCGCCGTGGAAACGCCATCACAATACACACACACACACACAGAGGCTGGAAGCCGGCTGCTGAGGAACCCAAGTTTGGAATAAAAAGTAGAAATTAACAGTAAAAAGCAGCTCAACAACATATGAAGAAAAAAAACAGAATTTATTTTGATCAAATCAATATACAATAAGTCAAAAATATATTTCGGGGTAGTCTTCTACTGGCTATTATCAGGTATATCTGAATGTGTACAACAGGGGTTTGAGCAAAGCTTTTACCACTGAATGATGCAGAAAGTCTCAGATCCAAAAGACTTCAGAAACCGTATGATAATCAAATATGACACATTTGGCATTATAGGGTTAAAAAACAAAAAAAAAAGTTGTTTTTCTACTGAAGACAAACAAATCAGCTAAATAAATGTTGAAAAACACATTATTTTTTTATATATATTTCAGCTAAAAACCAACTAACCTGTCGTTTAAACTCACAAACACCAGAAAGTGTGTTTTTAAAAAAAGCATGCTCCCTGTAAACAAAGAGACGGTCGCCATCACAGATGGAAACGCCATCACAATACACACACACACAGAGGCTGGAAGCTGTCTGCTGAGGACCCAAGTTTGGAATAAAAAGTGGAAATTAACAGTAAAAAGCAGCTTAATGCCGACGAGAAACTTCATCATCACCCTTAAAAAAACAACAAAAAAGATTTTTTTCTAATCAAAACAAGCAAATCAGCTAAATAAATGTTGAAAAACACATGATTTTTGTATGTATTTCAGCTAAAAACCAACTAAGACCCTAAAGAGTGTTAAAAAAAAAACATGCTAAAAATCTGAATTTGCCGTGTAATGTCTGACATGGCCACCGGGGGGCAACGAGGAGCCGAACACTCCGGGCTTTAATCAGGATGTTATCTGTAAACTAATACAGAATAAGAAAAAATGAAGAGTTTGAAGGGATAAAAGCCTGAAATTAGGGAAAAGGGGCCCTAATTCTGCCACTGAAAACACCTCCAGAGGGTTTTTACTTTGGAAACAAGTCTGGCCGAATAATTTTAAAACAAAGGCCCAGGGGGCCACAAAAAAATATTAATACCAATCTTTTCATGGATAAGGGAGCCCAACCAGCTAAACAAGAGTTAAGAAAACATTGGATGATAAAAGATTGTTTTTAGGGTATTTTATGGCTGATTTAATACACGGGTCCAAAATGACCCGCTAACACTACAGATGGCAGCAGAAAGCTAACACCAGAGGAAGGTTAAAAAGGAAAATGGACCTGAAGTTGCAGAGATTGGGTGGAAATGAGGCGTTTAATTGTTGCATGAGGGCATAAAAAAAGATGCTGAATGAAAGTCCGTCTGGCTGCAGACTGCAGGAAGCCAAGGATGGATATCAAACTCCCCCACATCCAAGTCAGCCATTTTGATTAGGTCACCAATAGGAAGATCCCAGGCAAGAAAATCCTAATTGCTTCATGGCATTAGGATGCCATGAAGCAAAACAGCTCCAAGTCCTATTGGCCAGTTTTATACTTTTGATCCACTCTGGTTTATTCTCAGGTTTCCAGCTAAAGAATCGGGCTGACAG